GTGTCTTGGTTACTCTTCTCTCATTGCTGGGACAAATACTGAACACTCAAAATGAAGGAAGAAACATTTTATTTAGCTCACAGTTAGTGGAGGTTTCCACCCTTACATGGCTGGCTCCAAAGCAGAGAGGTGCATGGAAGAGGGCAGCAGTTCATGGCCGCAGCGGCAAAGAGCAGGAGCAAAGGAGGGGTAGCAGCAGCACTGGCTACAGAGAGGAAGTCTGTCTCTCTGTCTCTCTTATGTTACATTCAAGCTGTCTACCCCAGGCTGGGTGTAACACTCACACCCATAATCCCAGAAGTACTCAGACCCATAATCCCAGCCTTGAATCATGCATAAATCACAAAGTGTGGAGGTCAGCTCCATGACTGCAGGAGGCTTTGGGGGGACAACTAGACATAAACCATAGCACCATGTTAAGTATTAGTTAGCATTTGGAGGAATGTCAGTGCTTAAGTGGCTTTTACAAGAATAACAACAGTAATATAATCATAAAGCAAATGGTATCTCAGAGGCTTAGCAACAAAGAAAAACCTATGTACATTCAAAAACATTTGTTGTAAATAGAATTTATGAAATTTTCAAAATTTCACGTGGAGTCAATGTATTTGGAAACAAAAAGATGATGGTATGCCTATGAAATGACACAGATGAAAAGTCACTCAGTTGACGTGGTCTGGCATCTTTCTTTCCCCAGTCTTATTTTGAATATCTCAGGTATTTTGGAGATTAAAAAAGATAATAGAGCTCATAGAGTAAAAATGATTGAGGGACAATATATTAGACAGAGCAAGTAACATTTTCAAATTCTCTGGTGTGTCTCATTTATGTATGTATGTAGAAAAGAGACAATAACATGTGGACAAATTTAGTAAAATCATGAATCCTGAGTAAAACCACAACCTTAAAGTGAGCCTTTAATTCAAAATTGTTCTATACCTCAGCGGGTAACTGATTTTTTTTAACTGTTTCCTTTATTTATTTATTTATTTTTATGGTCAGCTCAGCCCACACTGGGGGCAGGGCTGGCATGGCATGTGGTGCTGGTGATCAAACCGAGGTCCCTGCATGCTTCCCTAAGCTTGCCTAAGCAGGCGCTTTAGACCACTGAGCTATCTCGCCAGCCCGGGGGTAACTGATTTTTTACATAAGCTTTAATACATGTCTACCAGGATTTCTTATAAGTTACTTTTCCTACAAAATTAGGAAGCAAGTAATTTCATGTCTATGATAAAAAGAGCACACAGTAACTTGGACAGGAGGAATTCCATGCAGGAGGCCAAATCGGGGAGCAGCAGAGCTACAGAAGGAGTGCAGTCCTCGGGCTCCAGGTGTCCGGACCTGGGTGGATAGCAAGTAGTCATGGCAAGCTCTGGTTTCATCTAAGTATGCTCACAATATAAACAAAGACTTGGAAACAGTGTTGAACCCCACAGAGAGACCCTGGAAAAAATATTCTCAGAGCTTCTCCAAGCAGACAGCATTGTCTGCAATGATAGTGAAACTAGAAATAAAATAAATTTAGCCTTCCACAAGTCTTTCCAGAAGGACTAGCTTTGCTATCCTAGTGGGACCTTTAGGAAAACTTCTATGGGGTTTTAGGAGAGGCAAGGCTTCTAGTTTTGCTCAAGGACCACCGCTTAATGTCCTTTTACTTCAAGCAAATACTAAAGGAGGCATTAGGCTTCCAAATATTTGGTGAGAAGATTATTTTGCACGTTTGAGTCTTATTACTTATATAATTTTCACAAATAAATGAACTTATTTTACACAAAATATTTATAGTTCTTCCAAATCTGTCGTGTGTCACATTATTTTGAATAGTATACATATGTTTAAAAGTCATCTACTGGGATAAGAAATACATTCATGCCCTAACATAGTTATCATTTTTGTAGGGAAAAAAAACCCCACCACTTTCTAATCACTTTCAACATTAAAAAAAATGCAATATTATTCATTATTACCTTTAGCTTCCAGGTTGTACACTAGCTCTCTTTAACTTATAAAATCTGACTAACTTTTGTGTCCTTTGACATATCCCCTCCCTCTTTCACTTTAGTCCCTGATAATCACTGTTTTGTTCTCTATTTCTGTTTGATAAGGATTTTTAGATTTCTGTATATGACTGAGAATATGTGGCCTTTGTTTTTGGTGTCTATTTTTCTTTTCATAGAATATAATGCCCTCAGGATTTCATGCTTTCCTGTGGCTGGGAGGCATTCTACTGTGTGCACAGCACATTTTTTTAAACCTATTTATCTACTCAGAGCTGCATAGGTTGATTGGATTATCTCTACTAATCTAAATAATGTGGCAAAAAACATGGGAATTAAGGTATTTGTTCCAAGTACTAATGGTATTTCATCTAGATTCCTACCCACTAGTAGAATTGCTAGGTCATATGTTAGCTGTATTTGTAACTTTGGGGTAAAACCCCATACTGATTTCCTCCACTGTTATAAGAACTTGTATCCTAAAAAAATGTAAAAAAAAAATGCATTTTCTTCACATACTTACCAATGCTTATCTTTTACCTTTCTAATAATAGCCATTCTGGCAAGCATGAAGTGATGGGCTAGGGATTTAGCTTAGGAAACTATGTGCCTGCTTAGGCAAGCGTAGGTCCTGGGTTCAATCCCTGGCAGCACATCCACACTGGTCCTGACTCCAGGTGTGCTGAGCTCGCCACCAAGTCAGGCTATGGTGGTACATGCCTGTAATCCCAGCACTGGGGAGGTAGAAAGCAGGACAATCACTACAAGTCTGAGCTGCATAGTACGACTCTGTACCAAATATATAAAACAACAACAAATGCAAATTTGAAGTGGTTTCAAAGTTCTTTTTCTTGGTAGTCGGTGACATTATTGATTTTCTCACATTCTTGTTGTTCTTTCATTGTATTAAGAGAAATGTCTAACTGGGATCTTTGTCATTTTTACTTAGGTTTTCTGTTTATTTGCTGTTTAAATATTTCATTTATATATATTTTAGATATTAAAATATATATAATTGTGTTTGAGGATCAAATAAAATAATGGAGTTGATATTATTTGGCATAGTAACTTATTTAAATGTTTCAGTATTTATATATTTTAGATATTAAGTATTTGAGAATCAAATAAAATAATGTGGATGACATTATCTGAAAGAAGAACTTACACTATTCTGAAAGCAATAAATAACTGAATATTTTGTAGACATAAGAGAAACAAGCTGTCTTTACACCAAGTGTTTTGTAAGATTTCCTTTGAAGTCTAGCTTACCCAGTGTATTCGGAGTTACACCAAGTGGTTATATCTCAACAGATCACTGTTGCTTTCCAGTTAACACCATGAGGTCATAAAATTCATTTCCTTCCTACTCCTCTGTCTTATACAATTACCTTACTTGTTTACACATTTACCTAAATTCTGTGTGTTCTGCCACTTCTATGCCTACAAAGTAACAATTCTCTGTGTCTTACAAGGTTATGATTGTTTTGCTTCATTGGAGCATATTCTGATCTGAAACAGGTTCTGGATTCCTGCATTAAAATGTAGATTATAAAAAATTCACAATGTACTATAGTGAGTCCCTTAAGTTAGCATTATAGTTTCGCATATTACACTTGTGTTCTTCCAGTTTTTATGTGGCAAGAGCCATGAACCTGTGAGAGCCCTGGCATTCAGCACACAGTCTACAGTAACCCTAGTGGATTCCTATTTTCTAGTGAGGAATCTGTCACAGTGTTTGTCATCCTACACACTGGGAGAATACAGGAAAAGAGACTAAAGGTACCAGTGAAGAGCCAGACAGTATCATGGTGAGGAAAATGTTCCTTAATGTCTACTGCAAAAGAGATTTTGAAGGGGTATTTGGCTGAGTATGATCAACCCACAGCAGTTCAGCTGTTTTCTCCCAGACTCATTCTAGATCTCTGAAAATTATGCTTGGGATCCAGCCATGTTCAGTAAGTTACTTCATTACTTGTCTTGAACAGGGATGAGCATCTCCTCTTCTCTTATAACTGATTTCTTGACTTTATTGAGCAGAATTTTTCAAGCCGTCATGTATTTCTTTCAATATGTTTAGCCTCCAGCAAGAATTAGGCACTTGCAAGACAGATGTCATTCAGATATCAGAAACTATAACTCTGTACTTCAGAGTATTAGAGGACTTGGGTGAGGTTCAGGGTAATCCTATGGGAAGTCCAACGTTCTTGTCAGTGTTTGCTAGTAATTGCAGACTCGTTTTCTCTTGTCTAACTGTTGTGTAATATCCTATTAATATCTGGGATATAAGCACATATCTCAGTGACATTGTCATCCCATTGAAAGACTGTCCCTATATACAAACACTGGGAAATAGCAGGGTAATATGGGCATGATAGTACACATATGCAATTTTTATGAAGCAGAAATTTGTCCTCCTCCTCATTGCTGTTGTTGTTCTTCTTCTTTTTGTTGTTGTTGTCATTGTTGTTCTTCTTCTTATTCTCCTCCTCCTCCTTCTCTTTTTTTTCCTCCTCCTCCTTTTCTTTCATCTTTTATTTATTTACTTATTTGGTACAAGGTCTTACTATGTAACTCGAACTCATAGTGATCCTCCTGGGTTAGTCTCCCCAGCTCCGGGATTACAAGTGTGTGCCACCATGTCAGGTTTTGATGGCTTGAATGGTGTGCCCTAGGTTCCAGGGCCAGCAGGACTGGTCTAATTTCTTCTTAAAGCACCCTCTCATCTTATGATGCCATTTAACTTCTAACATGAGTTTTAGAGGGAAACCATAGTGACTATCAACCATGAATTGCACTTCCAGAAAAATTATACTTTAATGGCAATGAACAAATAAACACAATTCACTGGCAAACATAACTACATAAATGAATAAATAATATGCTCCAATAAAATGTTAGTCCTTTTAGTGTCTCTGACAATTTCATTTTTATTTTCTTCCTTAAAAATTGCCATGTCTTTCCAGATCTTTATATGATTTACCATTTTCTTGTTGAAAACTAGACATTCTGAACATGATAAGGCAGTAACTCCTAATATTGGATTATTTGTCCCTCCCTGGATTTTCCTGATGTTACCTGATGAGGGCTGATGTCTTCCTTTTGTTTTGTGACTGGTCAGAAGTTTTTGTGTAAAATTTTATTTTTGATAAATGTTGTCATTACAATGTCCAGTTCATTACCACAGTATTCAGTCAGTCATACAACAGAGATTTCTTTAAATATATCAAGAGAGAAAAGAAGCCAAAGGCCAAAAAAGACAAAAGCACCATCTTGGTTCTTGCCTACTGGCTTAGCTAAAGCTTTCCTTCAGTACTTGGGCAATGGCACTGTAACTCTGCCTCAGTCTACATTTCCCACTTCTGCACAGCCAGACATTAGCCATAGGCAAAGGAGAAGCACACAGTTAGCCATATTCTGGGCACCGTCCAGCCTCCATCGTAACACTGTACACTGGATTTTCTGGTATATGTGATAGCTTTCAAACCATCATTTCCCTCAGGCATCTCCCTCTCTCTTCTCACCTTTTCAGGGCTTTTAGCATATCTTCTGCTCAGCGCATCTGCCATCCCTCATCTCCCACTGATAATAAATGTCTAACATTTATGACATGCATTACTCAACCTGAATAGGTGAATCAATGTCACCAGGGCTTCCCTTACATAACATTCTGTCACCACCTACACAGTCTTTGCTTAAGCACAAGGCAATCAACTCTTCAAAAATTCACTAAAAATTCTACAATAATGTTAAAAGTTTGCAACTATGCAGACTCATAAAAACAAACAGTACAACTCATGGCATGAAAGAAAGCCCTAGAACTACTTCATAATCTGGCAATAATGATGGGATAAGTGTTGTGAAGCAATGGGGAATATTTTGTGTGGGTATAATAGAAATGTGTCTTTATCATGATATTTTTTTAATTTTTATTTTTAGGAAAGGGTCTACATGGTGTTCAGGGTCTCACTACTAGACTCATAGTGATTCTCCTGTTTACAGCCTTCCAAGAGCTGGGATTACAGGCAAGCACCACCATGCCCAGGCTCAATTGCTGTCTCAGTGTGCCTAGGGGCGGGGCTGGCACAGCAGGCCTGGGGATCAAATCCCCAGCCCCTGCACCTGCTTGCCGATGCTTTAATCTTCTGAGCTATTTGGCTGGCCCAACCATAATAATTTAAATAAAATGGATATTACTGTGTTTTTGCATCACATCTCCTAGCATAAATGAGTATGCTATTCTATTCTCTGTGTAAACTAGTAACATACATAGGAAAGTGTGCGCATGTGGGTATGCACATTCATGTGTGTGCATAAGGAAACTCTGGTGATAGACCCAAGGAATTAATACCAACATTTAGTGGCATAGGGCAGAACAGGAGACAGAGTCTTGTGCATGGGACTGAAGGGACAGGAAGCATTCACTCCTCTGACAATGCTCTTCTACATAAACAACCTAGATGTAGATCTGCTTCCTGAAAACACCACTGTCTAGATTCCCTACAGCAGTGTCTCTACCAATAAGTAAACATCATTGCTTTTTCCTTCCCTTTCCCTGTCATACATGGAGTATAGGGAGTAATGGCTCTCCAGCTCCAAATTAAAAATCTTGGTCATACATAACATCTTTGACATTCCCTGGATACAGATGATAGCAGTGTACAATAAATGTATCAACCCGATGAATCATAGGGAATGCTAAATAAATAACACACAAATACAAACACCACCTTGAATTCAATATCTTTGTATCCAGTGTTCAGAGCCTACATGATTGTGAATGAAAACTGGGCACTAAGTACAATCTTCCTTTGCCTGGCAACCAAGGACAAGAACCAGGAAGAGAGACCCGAAGCACCTCCTCCTGTGGCCCCTTGGAAGCTTCCTCTTCAGGAAACCTTCACAGAGGTGAAGATGTGTACACAAACTCCACAAGTCAGAGTGGAGGGGAAGATATGACAGGACAATGTGGGCTTGTTGGCTTTTGCCAGAGCCTTGGAGGACCCTCCCACTTCCCCAGCCTGTGGAGCCCTTTTCAGAGTGGCCACTGAGGCGTGCTGGTCACCGGATGACTACTAATTTCTGGCTTCAGAAACAGCCACATTTAGTGCTCATGGCGACCGGATGTCTTTTTGTTAAAGCAGGACATACTCAGTAATGGGGGGGGGGCAGCAATCATCACAGAATAGATGGGATCTAGCCGCTGGACCTTGCCCAAGGGGTGGGACCGCGAGAGACAGGCAAATATCTGTTTGCAGACTGGCTTAAGAGAATTCCTCTGGAAAGCAGCCAGCTTTTGCCTCTGTGTTGTTTTCTATAAGGAGCTAGAAGTTCAAGGGTCTTGGAAAGGCAGAAGGCTTTGAGGAAATGTTTCCCTATATTGCATTTTTACTATGACCAGGTGTGGAATTCAGAAGATTGGTACTTCAAATCAATACTCTTTTTCAAGCTTGTCTCCAAGTTGGTAGAAGTATATCTCTCTTGTACATTATCAAGAAAAGTACAGTAGAATATACTTATAAATACCAGCTCAGGATTGGGAGATAGCTCAGCAGTTTAAGCGCCTGCTGGCAAGTGCTAAGACCAGGGTTCCATCCCCAGGACCTCATGCATGCTGACCCTAGAACCCTGAGTGTGCCATGCCAGCCACTGTAACAAGGTGGTGGCACACACCTGTAATATTAGTACTGGGAAGGCTGAGACAGGAAAATCACTATGAGTCCAAGCTGCAAAGTGAGACCCTGTACCAAATAAATAAATAAATACATGACGATTAAAAAAATAAAACCCAGCTCAGTAATTTGTACAGTAGTTCATTAATTTGTCCTTTCCATAACTCATATATTTTTCATTAACTCTTGAATTTATTTATAGAGAATATTATGAACTATTTCTACTCTCGGTGAATTAACACACATTTTATAAAAATAAAGAGCTGAAATTGTCCGCAAAGCCCTCTAAGTATTTTAAAGCAAAAATTGCTTCTTTAAAGTCAAACTTTGGTCTCCATAATTTGATGTCTCTTTGGTATTTACCACATCAGAGCAGCATCTTACAAATGCTTAGACACAGGCATCAGTCATAGTTCTGCTGTAAATTGTTAGCATTTTTAACCTGATTCCACAAAGTACCACCGTGTGAGACATTGTGAAGGACACAGGAATTTCCACCACACTGTAGAGCAAAGGACTTCTCTTCAGCATGCATTAGAAGCTAATATAGGAATAATAATCATATTATTTATCCCCAAACCATAAATGCAAGTTGTAGATGTGTAATAAAATTAGTAAATTAAAAAAACAACCAGCATTTCAGGTGAATAAAAGCAGCACAAGCAAAGGCCTGTAGGATGGAAATCACTGGCCTCAGGCAGCCTGGTTTGAATTCACACCACATTTATTCCTTTTAGTCTGAGAATTGTTAAAACATCCATATCTATGGTCCACTGACTTGGTCTCCAAGTGTGATTGTGAATTTTGATGCTAACATCATTTAAGATAAGTTTTTTTGTTGTTGATGCTGCTGCTTTTGGTGAAAGGGGCAGAAATCCTAATCCCTGATGGTCCAGTCTGGACAAATAGACAATAGGCTTCCCTGCAGAATTGTGGACATTCAGAGTGCATTAAGAACTGTAGCTCAGGATTGGGCGGGAGGGTGATAACAGATGTCAAGTGCCTTTTGAGTGCTCCCCATTGTAGGAACTGTACCTAGAGAATTCACCCTGTTGACAGGCTTCTAGAAGCTATCTCAAGTATACACAGAGGTGTGGAGAGTGGGTCTCCCTTCTCTTCTTTTCCATAGTGTACCTCAGGGCGGACTGACTCAGCTCTTGCCGGGCCTTTGCTGCCATGAGGATGAAACCTAGATGACAGAGAAAGACGGAAAATACCAGGACTAGAGATGTTTGTGGAAGCTGCAGTGAGCGTTCCATTGTAGTCAGTGTTTGTGTCTTAAAGATTGGAGCAAACAAATGCTTTGATAAAGTTGAAAAGCAAATTCCAGCCTTAAGATTCCCATTTTATCTGAATTTAAAGTTCTTATTTCTCCATTATTAGCATAACTTTTAGGGCTTACACATCTGCAGTGGAATATTGGAGATTTGATCAGATTTATGTTTCACTATCTCTATACAGAGAAGGTGAAACTGTTACAGGCAGATGAGTTAAATAGAAATGCTATAGGCAGTCAGACAAGGCCAGGCCCTTGAAAGAGACAGCCAGCACAAAAGACAAGATACCTTACAACCATGGGAGGGAGGAATGCTCCTGCTGTGAACCAGACCTAAAGATCTAAAGGCAAAACAAATGCTAAAAGAGTAACACCAGGGATTGATATTCTAAATAGGTATTGATCACCTGGAAAGACCCAAGTGAGTCAATAGGCCAACCCAGAACAGGAAGAAACCCTGTCCTGTATTCCTGCCTGCTTACTCCGTGATTCGCTTCCCCATTTGGTGCTGGGCCTAATCAATTTTACCTGAGCAATGGTGCTTGTAATCCCATTGGTTGACCATAGTTTTGTCCCACCTCTTGTCCACCTGAGTTCCCCCTTTCTCCACCTTAACCCCTCATGGTTTTACACTATAAAAGTCCCTGGAAGAGACAGCTTTCTGGGGGAACTACCCACTCAGGCCCCCCTCCTGTCCCTCTCTCAGACAGGAGCTATCTTTCCCTCAGTAAATATATTCTGCTCATAACCTCCGTTTGTTCCTAAAATTCATTCTTTGGTTTTAGAGAGCACGAACTCGTTCAGGTCAGGTTGGGAGATCATTTTTCCTTATGTCATTTGGAGGTTCCCTATATCATTTGGAGTTTACTGACCCAAGATCAGTTTTACTTCCCTGTACAAAACTACTTGGACTGAATGAAGAGTGCTCAGCACAGAGAGACAGACAGACAGATGGACGGATGGACCGATGGACGGATGGAAGGACAGATGACTCAGTAGTTTGCTTCAGAAGTGACATTCTAGCCCTTGGGGAAGAATTGTGGTCAATAATAATCTTTTATGCTGCCTCTTAGGCCCCCTAACCACAGTTGCAGGCGAGTAATTCCCTGCCAGGTCCCATTGTAGCGTCGAGTTGCACAGATGGAGTGAGATCATCCTTTCATATCTGGCCTGTGTTAATATGCTGGGAGACATCCTGAATGCATGAACATGTGAATATAGAAGTGAATGACTCCACAGGAACTGTAAACACACTGTACACCGTGAAGCCTTTGAGCTTCTGTAGGATGCATCAGTGCATCTCAGGGGAGAAAAATCACCTGCCTGCCTGAATCGGTGCCAGGGGAGATTGAGTAACCCTCACAGGCTTCATCTCTTTGACTTGTGAGTTCCTCTACTTATTTCTACTTTTGTAGCTCCTTGGGGAGATGATTTCAGGGCTCAAATCTCTCTATAAACCAACTTTGGGGGATTCATATTATTAAATGCTACAGAGAGACTAATAAAGAGGA